CGGCGGACCAGGGTGCTGATCAACGGCCATAGAGCGGGCAGCATAGTGATCGCACGTCTGTTACTGTGGATGATGTGAGTTTCCTTCTGGACCATAGTGGTTGTCGTTAGCTTCTGTAAGGATTCGGGTCCGAGGGCAAATGTCGGCGCCCACAACACTGTGAGGCAAATGTCGGCGCCCACAATACTATTGGGGTTCTGACATGCCTGGAAGGTCGCAAAGCACCCTTCTGGCATGGCCTGACAATACTGCCCTGCAGGTGTGCAAGGTACGGTCCTCGGTATTGCGGTTGACTTTGAGCGCCTTGCCTTATCTGCTCCTCGCGTTTGTCGTAAAGGAGTTGTGCGCAAGGCGAGCCAGCCCTCAGACCACGGGCGAGGCGTAGCCAGCCTTTGGACGTCGGGCGAGGCGGATCCAGCCCTCAGACGTCAGGCGAGGCGGAGCCAGCCCTCATACATCGGGCGAGGCGGAGCCAATCCTTAGGGATCGGGCGAGGCAGAGCCAACCCTCGGGGGTCGGACGAGGCGGAGCCAACCCTCGGGGGTCGAACGAGGCGGAGCCAACCCTCGGGGGTCGAACAAGATGGAGTTAACCCTCGGACGTCGGGCAAGAGGTGTGGTCGCGCTCTTGTCTTGTTCGGATACATCAACGTTGATGGTTATTAGCTCCTCCTCTTCGGGTACCCTAGTATTTGGTCCCCGACAGGGGGAAATTTGGGCGGCTCACGAGGAGCGATCCGATGGCTAGAAAGTGAGGCACCAAGAGGGAAGGCACCGGGAGGCACCAGATGCCTACTAAATGGTGGGACCATAGGCACCATATGCCTACTAATTAAATTTGTGGGATCAACACCCAAAAAATTATCTTTCTAATTATTTTTTGAAATATTTTTAAGTAATTAAGGGTAAAATGATAAATCTATAATAGAAGAATAATGTTTTGAGTAGTACAATTGGGGTGGATAATTGAAGTAGCAGTAGATATTTCTCTGAGTCCAACCACTTCAAACCCGTCTCCTCTCTCTCTCTCTCTCTGTGTGTGTTCTTTGTTCGATTCATGGCCTCCCGCTCATGGCGATAGTTGCTCCGGTGGCGGCTGTGGTGGCGTGCGAGGGCGAGGGTAGGGTGGCCGCCACGACAAGCAAGGGCGAGGTGTGTTGGGTTTGGGGGCTGATTGCATCGGCGTGGGGTTTGAGGGTGGGCAGGGGCATTGGAGGGTTGTGCAATGACCATATTATCCTTAAACAAATAAAATTAACTAAAATGGAGATTTTGCGTAGGCACCGAGAGGCACCAAGAGGCATCCCCAACCACCGTAAAAGAGTGGAAAAGGTCAGCATCTATGATGATGTGAAGTTTGTTGTCGATTTGTCGTAAGTTTTATCGTAAGTTTGTGCTTTGGATGCTTGGCGTTTTAATTTTTGCTGTTATAGATGTGTTCGGTACATAAGTGGATAATCTGTTGAGTGCAGTCTCAGACTTGTAATTGTAAGCATGTTCATTCATTTGGTGTGTTGTCTGAGTGGGGAGGTTCTTTTGCTACGTATGAAGTATGTTGTCTTTGGAGAGGGGACTCTGCTCCTTCCATGATCTGTGACGTCAGAGAATCAATAAAAGCCGACCAAGCTCTTTTCTTCTTTAAGGTATCACCGTATGAAGTTTATTTCTTCTATATGTGCATGAAAGAAAAATATGTTTCCCAGCCAATTTGTTTGCACGTATGGAAAAAAATAAAATTCGTTCTTAAGTTAAACTCATTTCATGCCTTCCAAAAATGTTAGGCCACTTATGAAAGGGTGGGAAAATATTCCGTGAAAGTTTTATTAGACGAAGAAATGAAAATATATAGTTGCCTGATTTTTGAAGGCATAAGGAAAAACAGGGCTCGAAACCTGAACAATTGACGGTTGACAACAAGTACTCTCTTCATTCTAAATTATAAAATATTTAGGCTTTTTTAGATACATAACTTCTTTTATGTATTTAAATATACACCATGTCTAGATATATATTAAAAAACAATGTTTTAGGTGATATCCTATCAATCTCCTATACTGTCTTATCTCCTATTCCTATAATTTTTAAGAGATCTCTTCAAAGAAGCATCATCTTCCTAAGTAAAGGAGACAACCCATCTCCCATATTCCTAAAGAAATATAGGAGACAAGTCTTAGGTAATCTATTGTAGCAGTACTCTCCTGTATCCTAAATTAATTTTAGTGTTCTCTCTTAAAGTAACTTATAGGAGATGGAATATGAGAAATTTAGTAGAGATGCTCTAAGAAAACCAAAACACCTTCTAATTTAAAACGGAGGGAGTAGGGTACAAGCAAAAACTCACAAGTAGATCAAGAGGCAAAGCAGCTAACTTATAGTCTGATAACACTGGACGCCACCACCAACAAGCCAAGAAAACGTCCTTGACGAGTTTTGCCACATAGAGAGGAAACCAACGTATCATCTTCCACCAGTCTTGACTTCACCCCCTCCTGTTTGCCTAAAAAAATGGAAGTCTCCAAATTTAAGTTGTGGACTATCTTCAAAGCTGCAATGTGAAACGGTTAAATATGCAGCATCAGAAAAAGAAAAAAAAACAAAGCATAAAAGAAATGGCTTCGATGAAGGTTATATCTCTACCAAGATGGAGTGGAGTAGACCACATTGCATCAGGATCATTGGAGGATTGTGGGTTCCACTGATGTGTACAGGCAAAATGGCACGTACCCAACTATTTCATTTGGGTGGGTTGATTTGGATATCCTCTAGGTGTGGTGCAGTATTAGTAGGAAACATGAATTTGACAAGCACGATCGAAATGCACGCCTTGTGATCATGAGCGCAAAATATAATGTCAACTTAAAGACAATTTATGCCTTCAAGCTCCATGAGGTGACATGTTTTTTTTTTCTTCTGTTGGGCCTGGAAATTAAACGCAAAAAAAGATCAAATCACTGCAATTTTTTTTCCGAATACACACAAACTTAAATCTTGTTTGTAAGCGATCACCAGTTTGTGTTCACAGGGATCACCAGTTCTGCCAAGAACTTGGCTCCTTCTTTCAAGGCACTATACGCAGTGGTGGTTGCAATCGAACCTAGCCACCTAGGACCAGGAATGGGGGTTGTCTGCATAATGCATCCAGCACAAGACAATGTGCCCTATGTTTCTGCTTGGATCACTACTGTGTTCATCATAATTGCTCCAATTGAATCTTACTGATGTTGCTTCACCATCTAAAATCGATTACGACCATTAGGGGCCGTTTATAGTGCTTCCAGTTCTAGGTTCTCCATGAAAATATCACTCATAGACAGTCAAACAGTTGAAACACAGCTAGCTTCTAATAATAATCTGATAAGAACACTTCTCCATTTACACTGCGAGCTAAGAGCTAAAAAGCTCCACTCCCATTCAATTCCCACCAACTCTTGAATCAATTCTCACCAGCTCCTAATCTTGCTTCCCAACCAGAATCACTCCATAAGAGAATAAGAGCATCCTCAATAGCTCCTAATACCACCTATCATCCTTATAAAATTCCCCTGAATAGCTCTTTCTTTTTGTTGGTGGCCACCAATACCTCTACCTCAAATAAAGGGGAGTTGCATCTCCCCCTCAATAGCCTAAGGCCCGCCACAAATGCCACTTTCAGGCACAGGAGCAACACCACATCCTACCGCGACGGCCAGCGCCATGGCATCGGTGTGACGGCGTCCACGTGTCGTGTGATCTCCGTGAGTAGCTCTAGCAGCAAGCATGGCCACCACTCTTCGTCGACCTTGTCCTCTCCTTGAGTCGCCAGATCCACACGTGATAGCAGCGCCAAGCGAGGAGTGAGGCGCCACCGACAACCAAGACGTTTTACGTTACTAGGAGATCATTACGAGCGGCTAGGACCGATCCCTGCTCCCCCAAAGGGATTTGGCGCCGCCGCTACGAGCATGCGCCAAACAAACGTCTCACCCAACACAAACCCCCGTTGTCAAACTTCTTGCCGCCATGACTGCTTGGGGATCCCAACTAGCCATCTGTGGCACTCGCGCTGAGAATCATCAACAGTATGAGTCGAATCGGTTGACCTTGCTGCCGCCATCCACCATGACCGAGAGGGAGAGGTGAGGGATAGAAATAAATGGGGAGGTGGGGAGAAGCAACTAACATTCGAGTCCCATATGTCAAAGTGTATATTAAGGTTCATGTATATATTGGTGATCTGCTGTAGCGACTCTCTCAATAATCTAAAAAAGTAGCATTATTGATCACTAATACCTCCCTATTGAAAATGGATTATTGGTGAGCTACATGAGATACTCTAAGAGAGTAGAATTATACCAAAAGGCCCTAATATTCTTTTATATAAAAATGACAAGTGCGCGCACACCATGTGCGATACATGCACGGATACATTCACATATATGAGATGCACCTTATGTCACTCATACAATGAAACCAGTATAAAACACTCAGAAGTGTCTGTATCATGGTATTATGATTTCAGTCTTGATGGATGAAGGTACCTTGAAGCCTCTATCAGGCCGTCACCATTCAAGAGAGACTACTGAGAACCGTTCCATGGTTTAGGTTAGTTGAGTTCAGATTCAAATTCCCAATTCAAACCAAACTAAATGCTAAATCCTTTTCTCTTAGTTTCATGGATCATTTCAATATTTAAACTTGTGCTTTTGTGCCGGCACCGTTGCTTACGAATTTAGGGAAGACGTCCCTCTCTCCCATGCTGCAGTGCCTTTTCTAACATGCTGCATCGCCTTGTGTTTCGCTGATGACTAGCAAAGCTCCATGGAATCCATCGATCTAGTGGGAAATTTGGCGTTGGCTTTGCTGGAAAAGCATAAACACATGGTACTGATGGTGGAAAGGGGCTACATCGGGCGCCAATATACGTGGCTTCTTTCTTCCCTTTGATGCTTTGCCAAGTCGGCTATAAAAGCTCAGCCACGCGCGGGAAGAGAAGGCGGCAACGGGCCGAGCACGCCAGGCATCATGGGCTCTCAGCAAGAGGGAGACGCCACCGCCGCCATCGCCGACGCCGATGAGGTCGTCTACCTCCACGGCGTCCTGGAAGCGACAGTGTTCGAGGCCGAGCACCTCCACAACGCCATCCACGGCCGGATCATGGAGGTAAAGACAGGCACGCCTCTGTTCGTTTCTGCTCTGCTCTGCAATGAATAGCTGCACCGTGGCTTCTCTCTGTAGTGAGCTGTGCTTTGCTTTACGCTCATGGTTTGCTTGCGACCTAATGGATTGGCCGTCAAGGATGTTTTCCCTTTTCGCAGTTCGTGGTCACCTACTGCCACTGACTGTTGGATTTTCCGTTAGACTGACGAAACGTGAAACGCATTTTGCACCGTCGCTTGAATTAACAAATCCTCACGACAGCCACTGCAATGACTGGTCTGAATAGTGAATTGCTTACTTTGCAGATGTGGTTAAAAACGAAAGAACAAAAAAAATGAATGAATTTTTATAGAAGTACATAATCCAATGACATCGAAAAGGAACAACAGACTTTTGAGACAAAACAGAGCAAACTGGAAACCTTGTGAAGATCTTGTGCACAGTGACTAATGTCGGCACGTGCTCTGTTGACGGACAGGCCACGGAGAAGATTCAGGAGTCCCTAGGCGTGCACTGCCTCCAGCACAGCCGGCTCTACATCGACGTCGACGTCGGCGCGGCGCGGGTGGCGCGCACCCGGGAGGTGGAGTTCCACCCCACCAGCCCGGCCTGGAACCAGTCGTTCCGCCTGCACTGCGCCTACCCCGCCGCGGCGGTCACCTTCACGGTCAAGAACCAGCACCTTATCGGCGCGGGCGTCCTCGGCGCCGGGTCCGTGCCCGCCGCGCGCGTCGCCTCCGGACAGCCGCTGGAGTGCTGGCTCGACCTCCGCGGCGGCGAGCACGCCCATGAGACGCACACGCCGAGCCTCCGCGTCCGCCTGCACTTCTTCGACGTGGAGCGTGACCCGTTCTGGGGCGCCGGCGTCCGCCTCCCCGAGTTCGCGGGCGTCAAGCCCGCGTTTTTCCCGGAGCGGACCAACTGCAGCGTCACGCTGTACCAGAACGCGCACCTGTCCGACGCGTTCGACCCGGGGGTCCGCCTCGACGGCGGGCTGGCGTACCGGCCGTCGCGGCTGTGGGAGGACCTGTTCGCCGCCATCCGCGACGCGCGGCGGTTCGTGTACGTCGCGGGGTGGTCGGTGAACACGGAGATCACGCTGGTGCGCGACGCGGGCCGTCGGGCGGTGGTCCCCGGCGCCGAGGGCGTCACGCTGGGCGAGCTGCTGAAGCGGAAGGCCGACGAAGGGGTGGCCGTGCTGGTGATGCCGTGGCAGGACAACACGTCCGTGTCGTTCCTCGGCAACTCCGGCCTGATGAAGACGCACGACGAGGAGACCCGGAGGTTCTTCGAGGGCACCAACGTGAGGTGCTTCCTCTGCCCGCGCAACGCCGACGCGTCGCTGACCATGGTGCAGCAAGTCGAGACCAGCACCGAGTTCACGCACCACCAGAAGACTGTCACGCTCGACGCAGCCACGCCGGGCGCCGACGAACGCCACGTCGTCAGCTTCATCGGCGGCATAGACCTCTGCGACGGCAGGTACTGATGCAGTTGCTCTGGCTGCTACAACAGAGCCCGTAGCTGAGCTAACGATGCGAGGTGCTCGACCAGGTACGACGACGAGAACCACACGCTGTTCAGGGACCTCGACACGACGTACGTCCACGACTTCATGCAGAACAACTACAAGCACGCCTCCCTGCAGCGCGGCGGCCCGCGGGAACCGTGGCACGACGTGCACTGCAGACTGGAAGGTCCCGCGGCGTGGGACGTGCTCGCCAACTTCGAGCAGCGGTGGAGGAAGCAGGCGCCGGAGAACATGCGCGGCTGCCTGCTCGATCTGAGCCCGGCGACGTTCCCCGACCCCATCAGCAACGACCCGTGGAACGTGCAGGTGTTCCGGTCCATCGACGACGCGTCGGTCGTGGGGTTCCCCTCCGACCCGGCCGAGGCCGCCGCGATGGGGCTGACGAGCGGCAAGGACGTCACGGTGGACCGGAGCATACAGATCGGCTACGTCGAGGCCGTCCGGCGCGCGCGGCGGTTCATCTACATCGAGAACCAGTACTTCCTTGGCGGGTGTGCGTCGTGGGCGGAGGACAGGGACGCCGGGTGCCTGAACCTGGTGCCCGTCGAGATCGCGCTCAAGGTCGCCGCCAAGATCCTGCGCGGCGAGCGGTTCGCAGTGTACGTCGTAACGCCGATGTGGCCCGAGGGCGTGCCGGCGGGTGAGGCCGTGCAGGCCATCCTGCTCTGGAGCAGGCGCACCGTGGAAATGATGTACGGCATCGTCGCCAAGGCCATCGACGACGCCGGGTTGCGCGGCCAGGCGCACCCCTGCGACTACCTCAACTTCTTCTGCCTCGGCAACCGGGAGGAGCCGCTCCCCGGAGAGTACTCGCCGCCGGAGACGCCGGAGGAGGACACGGACTACTGGCGCGCGCAGGTGAACCGCCGCGGCCCCATCTACGTGCACGCCAAGCTCATGATCGGTACGCGCTCTCTACAACGTCCCCTGCGTTGTCACCTTGGACATCGGTCCTCGCAGCCTCATCTCACTGTCTCGTTGGTGACACACTATTACGCGCAGTGGACGACGAGTATGTCATGGTCGGCTCGGCGAACCTGAACGAGCGGTCGCTGGCCGGCAACCGGGACAGCGAGATCGCGCAGGGGAGCTACCAACCGGCGCACCTGAACGGGCCGTGCGGGCGGGCGCGAGGGCAGGTGCACGGGTTCAGGATGTCGCTGTGGCACGAGCATTTCATCATGGGCCGCCATGCCAGTGAGGACGCCGACGACGGAGTCTTGTTCCTGGAGCCAGAGAGCTTGGAGTGCGTACGCGCCGTGCGGCGACCGGCGAAGAGGCTGTGGGATTCGTACACGCAGGACAGGGTGGAGGACCTGCCGGGGCACCTGCTCCCGTTCCCGATCACCGTGTCGGAGTTTGGCGAGGTGGCTGACCTGCCGGCCGACGGGTGCTTCCCGGACACGAGGGCGCCGGTGAGGGGGAGGAAAGCGGTGAAGCTGCCGGACATCCTGACAACCTGATATGCTTGTTTAATTTACTTGTACGGTTATGTCAGTTGTAAGGGGCACTCCCAAAGAGTGTTTATATGTTCATTAGTGTCCTGTTTGTTTGGCTGATAAGCCATGACTGAAAGTACTGTTGACTGATTTGTTATGAGAGAAAAATAATGTTTGTTGGATGAAAAAATACGGCTTATAAGCCAAGCAAATAGGGCGTAGTTATAGCATGACTAACTATATGCCATTAGAATTAAGAAAGAGAGGATGAATTAGTTTATTAAATAAGAAACTATGTCTACGCGCGAACCAAAATACGAAGAGCCGTGATATGATGAAGAGGGAAGACACATAATTGGATAATCTTTTTTAATATCCATTGAAAATCTAGTTTCTACATGTAGTGTTCACATGATTTGACAAGTATAGAATCTATCTCATAGTTTCTGGGTTACAAACGCCTTAAGACCACCAAGGAAATTTGTTGTGGGAGTTTTATTCCTATTTAGGTTCCGTTTGGTTAAGCTATGCTTTACCGGAGTAGTTTTCTTTTGCTTCGGCTCCCCGAACTGCTCTAGCTAAAGTTGTGTTTGATGAAATGTTTAATAAAACAACTCATGATAGATAAAAAAGGAAAATGTCCATAATATCTTTTTCTCTTATCTTCTTCTATTTCTTCTTTCTTTTCCTTCTCTCTTCCTTTTATCCGCCCACCATGCCAGCATACCTCTTCCTCCGCCCCACGCCACAGCGGCTTTGCTCTAGTGTCCCACAGCCCCGCGCCTTGACCGCACCTTGGCGCCTTGCTCGCACGGAGGGGCGTTTTCAGGAGGACACATGTGCAACATCGGAGGAGCTTAGCGAAACTGCATTTTTTTGCCATCACGGGTCTCTTTCGACTCCAGAGAGCAGAAACTGAGGGGTAGAGTGGAGTGGAGCACTAGTGAAGAACCCCATTTGGCAAAAAATTGTGCCAAACAACCCTCGAAGACGTTGGAGAAGCGGTATCAATTGGAGCTGTAACGAGGTGGCGCATTAAAAAATGATGGGGTGACACAAAAATTATGAGAGTGAGAGAAAATGAGTTTTATCTAGATGATACACATCGCACAACATTTTCCATGCATTGGAAAGTGAGTGGAACTCCACCATGAGTGTTTTATTTCATCCCACATGTTAGAAACTTAGGTCCCGTTCGCGTGCTCTTAAACCCTGGCTTGATCCATTTAATTTTTATCTAGAACAATGTTTTTCTCTCACAAATTCCTCCAGCATTCCTCCAAACCATCCAAATTCCTCCAGAATTCAGACAAGGGAACAAGCCCTTAGTGAAACTCTACTGGAAGCATTTGATATAATAAAATCGTGTAATATTTGAATATATAAGCCTGTAAACCGTGAAATAAAATTGTGGGTTTTGTTTTATGTCACTCACACCTCACCTTTAGGGCCTCTTTGGCACGGCTTATGCCGGCTTCGGCTTCATTTATTTTGCGTAAATCGAGGCACTGTAGTGTGAAACCGTTTTATAAGCTGGGGTTAAAATGAACTAGAAGCCGAGAAAAACCAGTTTTTCTGGTTTCACCGGCTTTGGCTTTACCAATGAAGCTGTTTTGGATAAGCCGTGCCAAATGAGCTTTAGAAATAAACCCTACAACCTAGACGCCCTTAAGACAAGCGGGTGTCATTTGGCAGTCGCGAGTCGCGACACACCCAAGCGGGTGCGGGTGCGGGTGTGAGCCAGCCATTTGTTCTGCGGGTATGGATTCAAATAACCCTTTGTTCTGCGGCCCGAAATACGGCTTCGGGGCGCATTGCAAAGCAAACGCGCCCCAATTCTCGCGGTCTCACCAGCGGGAAAACCAAAATCGAAACCCCACCTCACCGGAGTACCGGACACCGGCCGAAACCCACCTCTGGCCCCCCTCCTCCCCGGAGCCTCCAGGACCTGTGGCGTATGGAGCGGATCCACGTAGCCGTGCGCTCGCGGCCGCTCCCCCCGGAGGACGCGCGGAGCAGCCCGTGGAGGATCTCGGGCAACACCATCGCTCACTCCGCGCAGTCCTCCACCCGCTTCGAGTTCGGTAAGAAGCCTCGGGCATCCGCCCTTTCGCTCCCCATTAGCTTCGCCTTCCGCCCGCTTGGGATTGCGGGGTTTCCTGATTTGTTGCGCTCGGCCTCGTTCTCGCAGACAGGATATTCGGCGAGGAGTGCCGCACTGCCGAGGTCTACGAGACCCGCACCAAGCAAATCGTCGACTCCGTGGTGCGAGGGTTCAATGGTAATCTCGGTTCTTCTTTTCGCTCTGGTTGTTGGTACCGTTTCCTTGGGCAAACAAGTTGGGTCCATTTGCATTTCAAAGGTATACTGTGTGTCTGTGTCAGGCTATTTGGTTTAATTGTGTCAGCCCCCGCTTGCTATATTCTTAATGGGCATTTTATCGCGGACTGTGTGTGCGGATAATCAGTGGAGACGCAACACGCCCCTGGAATTAAGTGCTCCGGCACTGTAATAAGCACGTTGATGCACTGTTATATGCTGATGATGGTTGATGAGAGGACGTAGCTCAGGTGAAGTACGTGCTTATTTTGTAGGATATGATGCTTCCATCACTGTAATCAGTGGTTGTCAGCATGCCCCAAACCAGCAACACCCCCTGGGATTAAGTGTTCAACGATCAGTTTGATGAAGACCCTTCCCTTGCCTTTATTTAACACGGAGCAGACAAATTATCACCAATCAAACTGAGGCAGCAATAGGGGGAGGAGACCACTTGTTTCGAACCCTTATAAGGAGTAAAACAAAGACCAATCTTGCCATTGATATGATGCCTCTGCCAGTTTGCACCTGCCATAACCTACTTGCACTGGGTAGGATGAAATCCACATTCCCACGATTTCGTCAAGAGCAGACCATTATTTCAAGTTTGAATTACATTGTCATGTTGGATTTTAATTTATAATAGTATTATGGCTACATCTTCATGAACCTAGATTTTTTCTAATGGAAAAACTGAGGTTGGTTCTAGTCTTGTAGGCTTCTAGCTGTCACTAGTCATTATATCTAGGAGCCATGGGAAAGGCTCTGGTTTTCATTCACTCTAGCATTCTTTGTTCAGCAAGTCGAAGGCTCTTTTTTTTATGCTCTGACTGTATGTTCTTATTAATCCCTTTATTCTTTCCTTTTTTGTGTGTGATTGTATCTGGTTTAATTAGTTGATTTCTTAGTTCTTCGCACAAATGAGTTTTCTCAATCACTCAGGCAATTTGATTTCGCTGAATTGGAATTAATTAATCTCATTCATATTGACAGGCACTGTTTTTGCATATGGTCAAACTAACAGTGGGAAGACTTTCACAATGAGAGGATCGGCTAATGAACCTGGAATAATACCGCTTGCAGTTCATGACTTATTCCAGCGTATTCAAGAGGTTAATTACACAAATCTCAATGTTCAATATCATTCTTTATTATGCTTACTTTGGCATACACTATGGGAATCAAGCAAGAGATATGTTAACTGCTGCATGCTGATACAGTGTTCATTTAGTTCCTTCTTAATCTGTTTATTGTATGATCTACTATGGAAAATATTTTGAATGTGTTGTTCCTTTTTGGTATTAGGACTCACTTAACGTGTTTTACAGAGGTTGTGTAGCATAGTCCTGGCCACCTTTTCTTTAATCATCTTACGTTCTGCATTATTATATTGAACCTTGGCTAGGGCTTTTATTCACATGCTGTGTATTCTATTTGACTCACTTGTTTTAGCTATTGTGTAGCATATGGACAGAGAATTTCTCGTGAGGATGTCCTATATGGAAATTTACAATGAAGATATTAATGACCTTCTTGTGCCAGAACATCGAAAATTGCAAATTCATGAGAGCATTGAGGTAAACAACCCATCTTTTCATGTGATATTGATCACCAACCATCTTTAAATAGTAGTCTTATTGTTACATGCTGGTACTTTTGATTGAAGAAAGGGATCTTTGTTGCTGGTTTAAAAGAAGAAATTGTTACATGTGCGGAACAGGTCATGGATTTCATGTCTTTTGGAGAATGTAAGCCTTTTTGAATGTTTGCTGGCTCAGTTACTGTATAGTTTATTCTTAATAAACTGCTAGCACAACTGCAGCCCACCGGCATATCGGGGAGACAAACATGAATCTTTACAGCAGTCGTTCTCACACTATATTTCGCATGGTAAGCTTATATTCTGTATCATTTTCCACTGGATCACAATTCTGATTATTATGCTGCTAAATGTTCAGGTAATCGAGAGCAGAGAAAAAAGTGACGACAATGAAGCTGAAGATTCTTGTGATGCTGTACGAGTATCTGTTTTGGTACGTGCAATTCTCCCCTGTTAATTGCTACTCTCTCCCGCAGATATAATTTGTTTTTTATTGGAATACATGCAGTTTATCCTTAAAATTTTGCTTGTCCATACTGTTATGAATATTTCAGATTGAGTAACAGTATTTGTAGATATGTGTTGAATAATGCTCGTTAGTTCCTATGCTCATATTTATTTGATGTCTTAGGCTTGTTCACAGTTAACTTAAAAAAGCATAAAATGAGTAGCTGAGCACAAACCTAAAAGTTTGTCTCTCTTTCTAGTTTCCTTGTATCAGTGAACAGGGAGATGGATGTCTTGTAAAATGTTCCAAAAACCCAGACTATTCTGGAAAATGAACCATGTCCTATCCTTGAGTTGGTACAACATCAACTGAAATGAACACTTCTGTAAACCCTGAAATTTCAACTTCAAATTTGCTTTTTAGGGACCATTGTCCAAAACGTCACTTATTTGTGAGTGAGGCGAGTACTTATCCAACTATTGATGTATGAGATTCAGATTTTCATTTTGCTTCTACTTATGTTAATAATGTACATTTCAGAACCTTGTTGACTTAGCTGGTTCAGAACGCGCTGCAAAGACTGGTGCAGAGGGTGTGAGACTTAAGGAGGGTTCTCATATTAACAAAAGTCTCATGACTCTTGGTACGGTAATAAAG